TTTTACAATTTTTATTATTTTTAATATAATAAATTACTACTATTTATTACCCACTTCACCAAATCATTAAATTACAAAACAACAACAAATATATTTAATTGAAAATGATAACAAATCTATTTTATGTTTTTGAATATAATTTATTTTCAAGTATTTTTAATTTTTCTATTAATTGAATTAGAACTTTTTTAGGAATTATCATAATCCCAATAATTTATTGATTAATTCCTTCTCGTTATAATATTTTATGAAATAATCTTTTTTTAACTCTTCATAAAGAATTTTAAACATTATTAGGGACTTCAGGAAAAAATGGATCTACATTAATTTTATTTATCTTTATTTACAATAATTTTATTTAATAATTTATAGGATTATTCCTTTTATATCTTTTACTAGAACTAGTCATTGTAAGCATTAACTTTATCTTTATCTTTACCATTATGAATTTCATTTATAATTTATGGTTGACTTAATCATACTCAACATATATTTGCTCATTTAGTTCCTCAAGGAACTCCTGCAATTTTAATACCATTTATAGTTTGTATTGAAACAATTAGAAATGTTATTCGACCAGGAACTTTAGCAGTTCGATTAACTGCTAATATAATTGCAGGACATTTATTATTAACTCTATTAGGAAATACAGGTCCATCTTTAACTTCATTGATTTTATCAATTTTATTATTTAGACAAATTTTATTATTACTTTTAGAATCTGCTGTAGCTATTATTCAATCTTATGTATTCGCAGTATTAAGAACACTTTATTCCAGAGAAGTAAATTAATGTCAACTCATTCAAATCATCCATTTCATTTAGTAGATTATAGCCCTTGACCATTAACAGGAGCCATTGGTGCAATAACAATTGTTTCAGGAATAATTAAATGATTCCATCAATATAATATATCATTATTTATTTTAGGAAACATTATTATTATTACTGTTTATCAATGATGACGAGATGTCTGTCGAGAAGGAACATACCAAGGCTTACATACATTTATAGTAACAACAGGATTACGATGAGGAATAATTTTATTTATTTTATCTGAAGTTTTATTTTTTGTTTCATTTTTTTGAGCTTTTTTTCATAGAAGTTTATCTCCAACTATTGAATTAGGAGCTTCATGACCACCTATAGGAATTTCCCCTTTTAACCCATTTCAAATCCCATTATTAAATACAGCTATTTTATTAGCTTCAGGAGTTACTGTAACGTGAGCTCATCATAGATTAATAGAAAATAACCACTCACAAACTTCCCAAGGATTATTTTTTACTATTTTATTAGGAATTTATTTCACAATTTTACAAGCATATGAATATATCGAAGCCCCATTTACAATTGCTGATTCTATCTATGGGTCAACATTTTTTATAGCAACAGGATTTCATGGAATTCATGTTTTAATTGGAACAACTTTTTTAATAATTTGTTTAATTCGTCATTTAAATAATCATTTTTCCAAAAATCATCATTTTGGATTTGAAGCAGCTGCTTGATACTGACATTTTGTTGATATTGTTTGATTATTTCTTTATATTTCTATTTATTGATGAGGAAGATAATTAAATTCATTATTTATCTAAATAATATAAAAAGTATATATGACTTCCAATCATAAAGTCTATAAAATATAGATTAGATAATTTTATTATTAACAATTATAGCAATAATTATTTTAACAATTTGTTCTATTGTAATATTTTTAGCTTCAATTTTATCAAAAAAAATACTTAATGATCGAGAAAAAAATTCCCCCTTTGAATGTGGATTCGATCCAAAATCTTCTTCACGAATTCCATTTTCACTTCATTTTTTTTAATTACAATTATTTTTTTAATTTTCGATGTTGAAATTGCATTAATTTTACCTATAATTATAATTTTAAATTTTTCAAATTTATTTATATGAAGAATAACTTCAATTATCTTTTTAATTATTTTATTAATTGGTGTGTATCATGAATGAAATCAAGGGATATTAAATTGATCTAATTAAATGGAAAATTTATTTTAGGATTGTAGTTAAATTTAACATTTGATTTGCATTCAAAAAATATTATTTTATGTAATCTATCTTATAAAGAATATGAAGTGATACATCACATTTAGTTTCGACCTAAAAATTAGGTAAATTTACCCTTATTCTTAATATTAATTGAAACCAAAATAGAGGTTTATTACTGTTAATAATAAAATTGAATTAAATTCCAATTAAAGAAATATGATGAACAAAAAAAAGCTGCTAACTTTTATTTTTAATGGTTAAATTCCATTTATATTTCTATATTTATTTATTAGTTTAATAAAAACATTACATTTTCATTGTAAAAATAAATATTATTATTTATAAATTACTAATTTTAATTCTTTAAGTATTTAAAGATAACATAAATCTCCCTTACAACTTCAACGTAATACTCTAATTATAAGCTATTTAAACACCAAATAACAAAAAATATTAGTACAAAAAAAAATAAACTTATTAATATTATAATTAAACTATTATTCTGCAAAATTTGATTAAATTTTGAATATCCCAATAAATTTTTATATAAATAAAATCCTCCAAAAAATTCAGATCAACCCTGATCAAAACTTTTATACAAATTTTTACCTAAAAATAAAAAATTAAAAATTAACCCATATGTAACAATATTAGGCATAAATCACATCGAACCAAAAAATAAAGAAATAAAATAATTTTGTAAAGATTTATTGAAAAAATATAAAGAAATTTTTGAAATATAATATCCTACTAATCCCCCTAAAATACACACAATTAAAGTTAATAATTTTAATAAAAAAGGTAAACAAATTATTGAAGGGGTGCCAAATAACAGTCAATTTAAAAATCCTCCACCAATAATTCTTATAAATAATAAACCAGATATTCCTTTTAATATAATTCAACTATTATCTCTCAATAAATTTAAACTATAAAAATTAAAATTTCCAACTAATGAATAATAAACTAAACGAATTGAATATCTAACTGTTAATCCTGTAGAAAAGAAAAAAAGAAAAAAAGAAAATATATTAATATAACTCAATGATACAATTTCTAAAATTATATCTTTAGAATAAAATCCAGCCAAAAAAGGTATTCCACATAAAGCTAAATTAGCAATATTAAAATATCTACATGTAAAAGGTATATAACTTCTTAATCCTCCTATTAAACGAATGTCTTGTAAATTATTTATATTATGAATAATAGCCCCAGCACACATAAATAATAATGCTTTAAATAAAGCATGAGTTAATAAATGGAAAAAAGCTAATTTATAAAATCCTATAGATAAAATTCTCATTATTAACCCCAATTGACTTAAAGTAGATAATGCAATAATTTTTTTAAATCAAACTCAAAATTAGCTCCTAACCCTGATATAAATATTGTCAATCCTGAAATTAATAACAATCTTTGTCCTAAAATTGTATCTCCAATTAATAAATTAAACCGGATTAATAAATAAACTCCAGCAGTAACAAGAGTAGATGAATGTACCAAAGCTGACACAGGAGTAGGGGCTGCTATTGCTGCAGGTAACCAAGCTGAAAATGGAATTTGAGCTCTTTTAGTTATTGCCGCCAATACAATTAATATACCAATAATCAATATATTTATATCTAAAATATTAAATTTTAATAAAAAAATATAATTTCAAGATCCATAATTTAATATTCAAGCAATCGCTAATAATAAAGCAACATCTCCAATACGATTTGATAAAACAGTTAATATACCTGCATTATAAGATTTTACATTTTGAAAATAAATCACTAATAAATAAGAAACTAACCCTAAACCATCTCATCCTAATAAAATTCTAATTAAATTTGGAGAAATAATTAAAAATATCATTGATATAACAAATAACAAAACTAATAAAATAAATCGATTAATATTTATATCTCCTGCTATATATTCTTTTCTATAATAAATTACTAAAGACGAAATTAATAATACAAAACATATAAAAATTAATCTTATTCAATCAAATAAAAAAGTTATTACAATTCTAATTCTATTTAAAGAAATTAATTCTCATTCTAAAAAAATTGAATAATCATGATTAATAAATATTAAACCAAAAATAAAAGAAATAATTCTTAAATTAATTAATAATCAAAATCTTATTCTACATAAAGATAAATTTTTCACAATTTAAAATAAAATTTTATATTTTTGACACCACAAATCAATGTTTTAATTAAACTATTTAAATATAATCAAAAAAAATTATTTCACTTTTTATAATCAATAAATTTAAAGGAACCCAGTGTAATAATAGTAATAAAAATTCTCGTATATTATTTATTCTAAAAGAATAAACCCCTGAATAAATTTTTCCATGTTGTCTATAAGAATACAAATATAAAGTATAAGCTGCTCTAAAAAAAGATAAAAATGATAAAGCAATCATTGAATATCAAGATCAACTTACAATTCTATTTATTAAAGAAATTTCTCCTAATAAATTTAATGTAGGAGGAGCAGCTATATTTCCAGATCTTAATAAAAATCATCATAAAGTTAAAGAAGGTATAAAATTTAATAACCCTTTATTAATTAATAATCTTCGTCTACCTAACCGCTCATATCTAATATTAGCTAAACAAAATAAACCTGAAGAACATAATCCATGACCAATTATTAATCTATACCCTCCACAAATTCCTCAATTTCTTAAATTCATAATTCCTGCTAAAACAATCCCTATATGAGCAACAGAAGAATAAGCAATTAATGACTTTATATCAACTTGACGTAAACAATTTAATCTAATTAAAATTCCTCCAATTAAAGAAATTCTAATAAAAAAATAATTAAATTTTAAACAAACAAATGAAATAAATGAAAATACCCGTAAAAGTCCATACCCTCCTAATTTCAATATAATTCCAGCTAAAATCATTGAACCAGAAATTGGAGCTTCAACATGAGCTTTAGGTAACCATAAATGAACCAAAAATATAGGCATTTTAACCAAAAAAGCTAAAATTATCGAAAAATATAATAATTCATAATTAAACATATAATTACTTAAAAAATAAAAATTTAAATTTCCTAATTTTTCATATAAATAAAAAATTCCAATTAATATAGGCAAAGATACAAATAAAGTATAAAACAATAAATAAATTCCAGCTTGTAAACGCTCAGGTTGATACCCTCACCCTAAAATTAATAATAAAGTTGGAATTAAACTCCCTTCAAAAAATAAGTAAAAAGCAAAAATATTTATTCTAGAAAAAGTTAAAAATAAAAAAATAACATAAAAATTACATTCACTAAAAATAAATTATTATAATTTTTAAATTTTTGAATTTTTTCACTTGCTATTAATATTAATGCACAAATTCAAAATCTTAATAAAATTAATCCATAAGAAATTATATCACATCCTAAAAAATAAGAAATACTTATAAAATAATTTATATAAATATTAAATAAAATAAAAATAAAACTAATAAAAAATAATATATTTTGAACCATTCAAAATATACTATTTAAAAAACAAATAGGAACCAAAAATAAAATAAAAAAAATAAATTTTAACATTATAAAATTCTAAATGATTGAAAATAATCATTTCCATGAGTACGAATTATAGAAACTAAAATAGAAATTCCTAAAGCTCCTTCACAAACTCTAAATGTTAAATATATTATTATAAAATAATTTCTATAATCTATTATATTTATATAACTATATAATAAAAAATAAATTATTAAAATAATAAATTCTAAACTTAATAACATAGATAATAAACGTTTTCGATTAAAAATAAAAGAAAAAATCCCTATCAATACTATTACACAACAAAATAATCAAAAATAAATTATCATTTTTTAGTTTTAATAGTTTAATAAAAACATTGGTCTTGTAAATCAAAAATAAGAATAATTTTTTTAGAACTCTCAAGAAAAAAGAAATAATTCTTTATCATAAATTCCCAAAATTTATATGTTAATTAAACTATTTCTTAAAATCATACATATATTAATTTTAACTATAATACTAATTTCAAGTATTACATTTTTATTCTTAAAACACCCATTATCTATTGGATTAATACTGTTAATTCAAACTATTTTAATTTCAATAATTTCAGGACTAATTTCAAAAACATTTTGATTTTCCTATATTTTATTCTTAATTTTTTTAGGACTACATTATTAGTTTTATTTATTTATGTAACAGCAATTGCTTCAAATGAAATATTTTCATTTTCAATTAAAATACTAATATGAACAATTTCATTAATCACAAGAATTTTATTTTTATGAATTATTTTTTACAATTATATTAATATAGATATATTTACAAATAATGAATCAATATTATTAATTAATTTAAAAATTATAATTAAAGAAAATTCATATATTTTAACTAAACTTTATAATTACCCTACAAATTTTATAACAATTTTTTTAATAAATTATCTTTTAATTACTTTAATTGCAATTGTAA